CCCAGTGTCCATCCCTCCATACTCTTCTGCGCCCTGAGCTGTCTCCCTGTGCATAAGCAGCCCTTCCTTCTCCCATGATTGTTCTCTCCAGAGTGTGTGTCTACTTGAGGTAAATGTTTAACTCACTTGCCTGTTCTTTGTCTGGAAACCACAGGTGTGGGTTCAATTCCAGACCTGAAGGGCAGCTAGGGGCCATAGTCTCAGTGGTTTCACCATTTTATTACTTTCTTAAAGGGAAGGTTTTTGAAACATAATTTGTCTCTTTATCAAGAACATTAATTATACTCTGCTATAATTCTTAAGAGGAGCTCTGGTGGCATAGTGCCTAAGGCATTTGACTGCTAACCAGAAGGCTGGCAGTTCAAACCCACCAGCCACTCCTGGGAAGGAAGACTGGGCAATCTACTCCCGTAGTGATACCACCTCGGAAACCCAAGGAGGGGTCGTTATGAATCAGAATCAACTTGATGGCAGTGGGTATAATCCCTAAGAGCCCTGGTAGCACGGTGGTTAAGCATTCAGCTCCTGACTGAAAGAACGGCAGTTTGAACCCACCAGCCGCTCCACAGGAGCCACATCAAGATTTACAGCCTACCCTATGAGGCAGTTCTACTGTTGTTCTATAGGGTCACTATGAGTCGGAATCAACTTGGCACCAATGCGGTTTTGGCTATAATCCCTTAACGCTCTGGGAACTATTGCATTGTTTAAAGATTTGCCCCCAGCAAAGGCCCCCAAGAGCTCTGCTTTTATTTAAAACATGAAATGCTGTTATCTTATTTAAAACAATTATCTAGGTGAGAGCCTGAGGGTATGAAATAAGTAAGATAAAAGACACACAGCTACCATCCCCTCTACTGACTTCCGGGCCTGTGCCAGCTCCCTAGCAGAGCCCTGACCCAGTGAGCCAGGTGTGCTGAGCTGTGGTGCTCCTGTCTTTCAGAGCAGTCAGAAGTTCTAGGCCAGCAACAGCCTCATCATGAACCCAGTGGGCCCTGCAAATAATTTCACTTTCTATGCATGCTGGCAGGACCTCTGGTAGCATAGTGCCTAAGGCACTTCACTGCTAACCAGAAGGCTGGTGGTTCAAACCCACCAGCCACTCCTCAGAAAGAAGGTTGGGCAATCTACTTCCATAGTGATGCTGCCTCGGCAACCCAAGGAGGGGTTGCTATGAGTCTGGTCCTACTCGGCACATAACAACAACAACAATGCATGCTGGCACTTGAAAAAGACTGGAAGGTGTTGACACTTTTGCTGTCACTGAGGTGGGAAAATAGATTAACACCTCAGAAAGTTTCAAGAAAGATGGAAAGGTTTGGTCAAGCTAAAAAGGCAGTTACCTCCCTTTGCCAACACCCTGTTCTAAGTACTCTAGTTAAACATTTCATGGAGTCCCGGGCTGCCCAGCACTGTGTCCAGCTTACCTTGATGAGGTTTTCCAGGACAGACCTGCAGATGGCCTTTTTGTCTGTGTTGGTGAGCTCTCGCTTCTTGATGAGCACACGGTATCGGTTGAAGAAGTCATGGTAGGTCCACCTAGAGGGAAGGCAGAGGTGTGTCATGGGTCACGGCTTGTTCCTTGGCCACACAAGGGCCATGGGTGACCTCAGGTAGTGTCCCCTAGGACCAGTCTTTCTTCAGAGCAGGAAAAAACAGCTCCTGGGGCTCTTGCCACCCACCCCCAACTTCCCCAAGAGAATTTCAGCATGTTGATTCATGCGTGTGGCCGGAAGCCTAAGAGGAAAGACTGGTTTCAGGGGATCCTTACTATTGTATCCCCCCAGAATGTGTCAATTTGGCTAGGCCATGATTCTTAGTACTATGTAATTATCTTCCATTTTATGATTTGACGTCATTATCCTACATGTTGTAAATCCTCAACTCTATGATGTTAATGAGGCAGAATTCAACCTATAAGATTAGGCTGTATCTTGAGTCAATTTCTTTTGAGATATAAAAGAGATTAAACAAATGAGCACAGATCAGAGGGACTTCAGTACCACCAAGAAAGAAGAGTTAGAAGCAGAATATACCCTTTGGACCGTGGGTCTCTGAGCTGAGAAGCTCCTAGACCCAGAAGATTGATGCCCAGACACATGGAGATCTCCAACAGATGCCAAGCCAATACGTGCTGCCAGGAGGCAAGAACTTTCCCACAGAGCAACAGAGAAAGCCTCCGTCTAGAGCTGGCGCCCTGAATTCAGACTCCTGCCCTCCTAAACTAGGAGGGAATAAATTCCTGTCTGTTAAAGCCATGCACGAGTGGTACTTCTGTTACAGCAGCACTAGAGAACTAAGACACCCCTCTTGGAAGACTGACAGAGCCAGCCCTGATCACGGAGCCCTTCTGCCACTACCACTCTGAGTGCCACCCCTCTGCTCCTGAAGAAGCAGGTAACGTACTGGAATGGTGTTTTGTTTGCAAATACCGTTTTTCTTCTTATAAAACTATGAGTGCTCACTGTAAACCTTTTTAACGCAGAAAAGTAACATTAAGACATAAAAACTGGCCATATCTTAATTCCAAGAGATAACACAGTTTCCATTTTGGTATAGCTTAAAAGAAACCATTTTTCTCTGAAAAGTATGTGTTGCTTTTTCTTTTTTTTTCTTTCTTTCTTTCTCCCTGCTTGGTTAGACTAATGTATGCCCACTGTAGAGAAAACCTCAGGAAATTTACATAGGAAAATAAAGAGCACTTACAATTCTACTACCTACTACGTAAGTGCGGTTTCCGTAAGCTTTGGAAGGGAAGCTTTAAGGTGGCCTTCAGCTTACCCTTTGGACTCAGAGATCTCTTCCTAAACACATGTCGTCTGTTTTATGAGTGAATTCAGTATTTCCTAGGCAGGGTATGTCCCCTTTCCTTTAAGGCTACCTCAGCTCAAACACACATGTGCCGTCACACTCTCAACAGCATTTTGACTCCTATCTCAATTTCCAGGGATGTTTGCAACCTCTGCATATCATTGTATATTGCGACTTAGCATGACCCTGCTCTGAGGAAGAGGAGCCCTGAAGGTGCATTGGTTAAACACTCCTCTGCTAACCAGAAGGTTGGTGGTTCAAACTCACCAACCATTCCAGGGGAGAAAGACACAGCAATTTATATCTGTAAAGATTAAAACCTGCTGCCATCAAGTTCTACAGGATTTTTTCAAAGCTGTCAATCTTTACAGAAGCAGACTGCCACATCTTTCTCTTAAGGAGTGGCTGGTAGGTTCAAACTGCCGACCTCTTGGTTGGCAGCCAGACACTTTAACCACTCCACCACCAGGGCTCCCCTGTAAAAATTTCAGCTTTGAAAACCCTATGGGGTAGTTCTACTCTGTCCTGTAGGGGTTCTGTGAGTCAGAATTGACTTAATGGCACAACAAGAAGTCTAAGGCGACTGAGTTTTCAGTCTAAATCTCTCTGAAACTAAATTCAGCCCATGCCCTTGCTTGCGTCCTCAGAGATGGAACAACTACAGTTTGCACTGTTCTGGTGACCCAGGCCCAGCTCATACCTTCAGAAGTCATCAGGTGACAACGCACGCACCCTGTCACCATTGTTCATTTGGAAATCACTTAGGAGCTGCCTTGAGACAGTGCTTCCTATCAGCCTGTAGCCTTGCTGAGGGGCTATCCAGCTACCCAGAGAAACTAACACCATACCCTGTTACGAACTGAATTGTGCCCCCCAAAAAGGTATGTGGCAGTCCTGACTCCTGTGCCTATAAATGTGGCTTTGTTAGGAAATAGGATTTAAAAAAAAAAAAAAATCAGTTAAGGCCTAATGGGGGCATGCTAGAGTAGGGTGGGCTTAATCCTAATTCTTGAGTGATGTCTTATAAAAAGGTGGGGGGCAGAGTCTCTCTCTTTCTCTCACAGACACACACACACACACACACACACGGGAAGACAGATTTCATGTGATGACAGAGGCATATGGATGTACAAGCAGCTCCCAGAAACTAGGAGAGGGGGATGGAGCAGCTCCTCTCAAAGCCCCAGAAGGAACTGACACAGCCAAGATCCTGATTTGGACGTCTGGCCTCCAAAACCACGAGAAGGCATGTTTCTCTTCTTTAAAGCCATCCCCTTTGTGGGATTTGTTCTGGCAGCTCTAGGAAACTAGGCCATATCCCTTCTCCTGGAGCACAGTGCCCTTCCAAAAGGATGGGGCCTTTAGACATTTTATTACAGAAACGAGGGTCATGGGAATGCCAGGGACCACTGGTGTACAGGCCGGACACACGCTGTTCTTGGGAGTAGGTTCCCTTAGAGACCTTTCCTTGCACTCACAATCTTACCAGAGAGAGGTCTGCAGGTCCTGAGGGGCCTGTCCCCTCCCAGGCCATTTAACTCGGAGACTGAGCTTCTCGCCCTTTCCCTTCCCCCTTTCCCACTGTAAACATTAATGCGGCTTCTGTGGAATACTTCTAACAGACTGTGGAGCTCAGGGAAGAGGGAGGTATGAGAGCAAATTAACACAGTGGCCTTCTGATCCCTCTTATTTTTTTCCTACACAATGATGAGTGAGTTACCCCTTATATAGCCCCCTTTTCCTTTTAAAAAACAGCTTCATTGAGATGTAATTCACATACCACAAGATATCCCCTTTTAAAGCATACATCCAGTGGTTCTTAATATACCCAGAGTTGTACAACCATCACCATTATCTAATGCCACAATGCTTTCACCACCCTGAAAAGAACCCCTGTACCCATTAGCGGTCACTCCCCATTCTCCCTAGCCCCTGGCCACTATGAATCTACTTCCTGTCTCTCTGCCCCTTCAACTGGTCCCGTCACAATGTCGTGGCAGGTGTGGGAGGCTGGTTTCTACTCTGCTCACAGCTCCCTGGGTCTTCCCAGGGCCCAGCACCACAGGGTCACCGTTTGGGCGGTTCCCTCTGGGAGGGAAGACGGAGGCTACCGGGAGCTCCAGGACCTCCGTCCTATGTCTGGGAAAGGGCTTCTCCGTCCTGTGCCCTAACTGCAGGGCACTGAGCAGAAACTGTCCCCTCCTCCTGCTGTGCAGTGACTGCTCCGAGCCCACTGAATCCCAGGCCACCAGAACAGGTGGCTTTCCAAACGGCAACATCTAAGACTACCTGCCCAGCTAAATGCTTCTTCAGTTATTTCAACCACATACAATGCATGTCAAAAAAGTGCTAAAACCCTACCTGATACTTGAAGGACTTCAAATCAAGGAACAAGCTGCACATCAGCTGTGCGTTTTCTCTTTGATATATACAGGCGCTACTGAATGGCTCCCAGGTGGTTTTTGCCCCAACCTCCAAGTTTCAAATATAGACAAGTCTCCTGACTGATATGTCCACATACAATGAGGTGGATTTGGGCAAGAATCAAATGCATCTAAGAAGGGATACAAAAGAATCTAAGTCTCCTTATTCCCCACCCCCATCCATCAACAAGGAGTCTTGGTGGTATAACAGTTAAGTGCTCAGCCGCTAACTGAAGGTTGGCGGTTCAAACCTACCAAGCCACTCTGCAGAAGACCTGGTTGACCTCTTCCCATAAAGATTATAGCCAAGAATCTAATTCCTGTAAATAAAAAAAAAAAACTGCTGTTGCTGGCAGATAAGATGCAAAGTGTTGCACGCACAAATGCTTTTAATGAGAGGACGTTTTAGCTCACAGGAATCAGTGCAATGTGGGCTTTGTGGAGCAGAGCTGTAAGCCAAAGCGAGCACTGTGACTGACTGTATGATGATCTGGGTTTGAACCACCAGCCTTCTGGTTAGCAATCAGATGCCTCAGGCACTGTGCCACCAGAGCTCCTAAAGAAAAGACAACCCTTCTCACTAGGCAGGCTGTTCAGCAAAGTATTAGAAAGGGACGCAGAAAGAACAAAACAGTCCACAGTATTGCAGAGACAGGAAAGACCAAGAACTTGTTAGCTATAGTTCAGTGTAAGTAACAGCTGCCTAATTAAGCCCACTGTACTTGTATTATCCTTGAAAAAAATTACATGTGTGTGTAACAATATGCAGTATTTTGTTTAACAGGACAACACAATCAAATATCCTACATCTTTTAACTATCTACAGAAGGATTTTAAAAGTATAAAAGTTAATTGCTGTAGCAGTGGGTTGGTAGAAACATTATAAAATTTTGTTAACCTCTTCCCACAGATGTTTTCTAATTTGTATTAATATTAGTTATCACTTTTGCCACTATTAAATAGTCATGTTGCTGATTTGTTTAAATAATGACATTTATGGAAAAAAGTAAATGATGCATGAGGATATAAAATTTCAAATTATTGTTTTAGAAAAGGAACGGTGATAGCCCAGAAAACCCCATGAGAAGTTCTGCTGTGTTATGTGGGGTTATGAGCCAGAATCGATTCGACAGCACACCACCACCTCTCACAGCCCACCGGCGCTTGACTGCTGCTACAGTCTTCAAGGACACCCAGTCAGAGGAGCTGAGCCCTCCTGGAAGGTTGTTCAGCACTTTCTGTGTATCCTTCCCGAGGGTCCTGACCACATTCTGCACAAGGGCTGTTTGGCGCATGCTTGTCCGT